AGGTGGGCAGATGGACAGGTGCAGAGGTGGGCAGATGGGCAGGTGGGCAGATGGACAGGCGCACAGGTGGGCAGATGGACAGGTGCAGAGGTGGGTAGATGGACAGGTGGGCAGATGGACAGGTGGGCAGGTGCACAGGTGGGCAGGTGCACAGGTCGGCAAGGATACAGCTGGTCAAGGGCACAGGTGGGCTAGGGAGGTGGTGCTGGGGCAGCTCCTATTTGGGGCAAGCTCTGAGGTACTCCAGGCCCCAAGAGTCAGGGAGGTCAGAGAGTTGCCATGGGGGGTTTGAAATGCAAATGGCTCCAGAGACTGTCCCTGAGCCAGACGCCCCCTGGCCGGGGGTCGGGTGTGGTAGGGACATTGGCCTGACAGCTGCACCTTGGCCTCACTCCCAGGTTGACTCCACCAAGTACTACGAGGCCTGCGTGAGTGACGCGTGCGCGTGCGATGCAGGGGGCGACTGTGAGTGCTTCTGCACGGCGGTGGCTGCCTACGCCCAGGCCTGCCACGACGCCGGCCTGTGTGTGTCCTGGCGGACTCCGGACACCTGTCGTGAGTCGGGCTCTGTCCGTGGTGCTGAAGGGTGGAGCAGCCGGGTGGGGGAGGAGGTGCCCCAGCCTCCGTAGGGGCACTGACCTGGGCCTGAGCCGCACACAGACGCCCAACATGCATGTGGCTCCATGTGAGTGTGCTATTCCCATGCACAGAGGCAGACTTGTGTAAAACCACCAGACAGGCTGTCCCTGCACCAGATGGCTCCTGGGGGGCGGGACAGGGGTTCCAAGGGCAGGGCTGGGGAGCGGAGCGGAAGGTGAGGTGCCACCTGCCTGACGCCCTGAACGTCTGGGACAAGCCCAGGTCTGGCCCTGGGGAGACCGACACCCCTGCCAGGCGGGACTGCCCTGCACAGCAGGGGTGAGGGCCAGTGGGTGCCTCCTTAGCCTCTGTCCTCTGTGCCCCAGCCTTGTTCTGTGACTTCTACAACCCACACGGGGGCTGTGAGTGGCATTACCAGCCCTGTGGGGCTCCGTGCCTGAAAACCTGCCGGAATCCCAGCGGGCACTGCCTGGTGGACCTGCCCGGCCTGGAAGGTGAGGGGCAGCCTGTCCTGGATGAAGTCTCCTGTCTTTGGGTTTCTGAGTGTGCATGGGGAGGGCTGGGGTTCCCCAGGGACATGGCGCAGGCTCCCATGAGCTGCACAATGCAAGCCTCCAGGGCAGGTCTCTGCTGGCTGGTGGGGAGCAGCTACTTCCGGCAGCACGGAGCCCCTGGCTCGAGAGGCTAAAGGACCCCAGTGAGTCTTTCCCTTGCCCTGTTGGCCCCAGGCTGCTACCCGAAGTGCCCCCCCAGCCAGCCCTTCTTCAATGAAGACGAGATGAAGTGCGTGGCCCAGTGTGGTTGCTACGAGAAGGACGGAAACTACTATGACGTGGGGGCCAGGGTCCCCACGGCAGAGAACTGCCAGAGCTGGTGAGGGGGTGGGGAACAGGTGGGGCTGGGGGGCAGGGCTGGGGAGCAGGCCTCGCAGGCTAAGGCCCTCAGCTCACCTCTCCCCTGCCCGCAGTAACTGCACACCCAGCGGCATCCAGTGCGCTCACAGCCTTGAGGGTAAGGAAGGGTCGGGGTGGGGGGCGGCCGAGGCTGGGGCCCGGGGTTCAGAGGCACCAGATGACCCTGCTGGCCACTCCCCAGCCTGCACCTGCACCTATGAGGACAGGACCTATGGCTACCAGGACATCATCTACAACACCACTGATGGGCTTGGTGCCTGCCTGATTGCCATCTGTGGAAGCAACGGCACCATTGTCAGGAGAGCAGTGGCATGCCCGGGAACCCAGGCCACAACGCCGTTCACCTTCACCACTGCCTTGGTCCCTGTCTCCACAACAAGTAAGCCCTGCCTGGCTCTCCTGAGGCCTGGCCATGTCTGGGTGATGAGGAGGGACCCCCTGGACACTCAGTGCAGGTGCTCTGGATGGTAGTGACAGTCGGGTCCCAACCGCTGACCTGCCGGGCTCTCTGGGGGTGCACAGCCCCCAGTACCCTTCGTGTCTCCAGGGGCTCCCCAGGAAGCCTCAGCACAATGATTGATGGGTGACCTTGAGGGGACAATAAAGCTTCCCCAGATCCACCCCAGCCCTCATCACAGCCTTCCCCAGACTCTGCCCTAGCCCTCCCCACAGCCTTTCCCAGCTGGTGGGCTCCCTCAAGGCCAGGATGCCAGGGCCCGGTCCCTCATGCAGAAGTGGCCCTAACCAAGGCTGAGGCAGGCACCTAGGGTCCCCGGTATCCAACAAGGGTGGGGCCAGCCCTGGGGCAAGGGTCCTCTGGGGCCCCTCCTCCTTGTGAAGCCAGGATCCCTCTCCCTTGCCTCTTACAGGCCCGGCCCTCCCACTCTCCACCGTGTGTGTCCGTGAGGTCTGCCGCTGGTCTGACTGGTACAATGGGCACCGCCCGGAGCCTGGTCTGGGAGGCGGAGACTTTGAGACATTTGAAAACCTGAGGCAGAGGGGGTTCCAGGTATGCCCCGAGCCGGCGGGCATCGAGTGCCGGGCAGAGCAGCTTCCCGACATGCCGCTGGAGAAGCTGGGCCAGCAGGTGGACTGTGACCGCACGCGGGGGCTGAGGTGTGCCAACAGCCAGCAAAGCCCCCCGCTCTGCCACGACTATGAGCTGCGGGTTCTCTGCTGCGAATACGTGCCCTGTGGCGCCTCCCCGGCCCCGGGCACCAGCATCCAACCCTCCCTCAGTGCCAGCACAGAGCCTGCTGTGCCCACCCCCACCCAGACCACAGTGACTGAACAGACCACCCTGTGGGTGACCCCGAGCGCCAGGTCGACAGTCACCAGCCCGGTCAGCAGCCCCCCGGCCCCAGCTACCACCGCCTGCCAGCCCCGCTGTCAGTGGACTGAGTGGTTTGATGAGGACTACCCCAAGTCTGAGGAGTTGGGGGGGGATGTTGAGTCCTACGATAAGATCAGGGCCGCGGGAGGGCACCTATGCAAGCAGCCAGAGGACATCGAGTGCCAGGCCGAGAGCTTCCCCAACTGGACCCTGGCGCAGGTGGGGCAGAAGGTGCACTGTGATGTCCGCTTCGGCCTGGTGTGCAGAAACTGGGAGCAGGAGGGCGTGTTCAAGATGTGCTACAACTACAGAATCCGGGTCCTGTGCTGCAGCGCCGACCACTGCAGGGGACATGCCACAACCCCGCCACCCACCAAGGAGCCAGAGACGGCCACAACCACCACCACCACCCTGATCTCAACGCTGCCACCTATGAGTAGCACAGGAGTGACCAGGGCTCCCCCGCCCACCACCACAGCAGTCCCCACCCTCTCAGAAGGACAGACATCCCCCAGATACACGGGCACCCTTGTTACAGCCACCACAGGAGGCCCCACGGCTCCTGCAGCTTCCACAGAACCCACGGTCCCATGGGTGGCCACATCTAGCTTTCCAACTCGCTCAGCGCTGCCAGGGACCACGAGGAGCTTGGGCACACAGGGCCCCTCGAGGCCCCCCGTGCCGGCCTCAACTACAATGGCAACCTCCAGAGCTCGCCCAACAGGCACAGAGCCGCTGACCATCAGCCTGGTGCCAACACTCACGAGCCATCAGTCCACCACTCAGGCTGAGACCAGCACGCCCAGGCCAGAGACAACGACGCGAGGCCCCATCCCTGAGGCCACCACCAGCCAGGGCACGACCCGATGTCAGCCGAAGTGTGAGTGGACAGAGTGGTTTGACGTGGACTTCCCAACCTCGGGGGTCACAGGCGGGGACATGGAAACCTTTGAAAACATCAGGACTGCTGGAGGCAAGATGTGCTGGGCACCAGAGCGCATAGAGTGCCGGGCGGAGAACTACCCCGAGGTGAGCATCGACCAGATCGGGCAGGTGCTGACCTGCAGCCTGGAGACCGGGTTGACCTGCAGGAACGAGGACCAGTCAGGCAGGTTCAACATGTGCTTCAACTACAATGTGCGCGTGCTCTGCTGTGATGACTACAGCCACTGCCCAAGCACGGCCGCCCCCACACCCACCTCCTCCACACAGGCACCCAAACCCACCTCCACGGGGGTCACCATGGGGGCCACCACCCCCACAGCCACTGCCTCCACAGCCACTGCTGCCACAGGGGCCACCACCCCCACACCCACTGCTCCCACAGTCACTGCTGCCACAGGGGCTACCACCCCCACAGCCACTGCCATATGGAGCACCAGGTCGGCAGCAGTAACAAGACCCTCAACTCCAGCCACCACTAAAACTGGCCCCACCTTCTCAAAGACCACAGAGAGGGTGTCCCTCCCCAGTCACTCTGCCCCTCCAGCTTCCACGACCAACCTCCTCCCTACCAGGAGGCAGCAGACTTCCCAGGCTCTGACCATGCCTACCAGTCCAGCTGTGACCAGCACATCCACGACATCCCCCATGGTGACCACCCCAGTGCACACGACCCTGAGGACTTCCAGCTCTGGGCACACCATAGGGACCATCCTGCCGTCCAGCTCCCCATCTCCCAGCACAGGCTGTGTGCCTCGCTGTGCCTGGACAGACTGGTTGGATGAGGATTATCCTAGCCCTGGCCCTGATGGTGGGGACTTCGAGACATACTCCAACATCCGTGCGGCTGGGGGGGCCATTTGCGAGCAGCCGCTGGGCATCCAGTGCCGCGACCAGGCCCAGCCTGATATTCCCCTGTGGGAGCTGGGCCAGGTCGTGGAATGCAGCCTGGACTTCGGCCTGGTCTGCAGGAACCGTGAGCAGGTGGGGAAGTTCAAGATGTGTTTCAACTATGAAATCCAAGTGTTCTGCTGCAACTACAGCCATTGCCCCAGCACCACGGCCACCAGCTCCACGGCCACACCCTCCTCCACTCTACCCTCTACCAC